CATCTTCCAATACTTGAAAGACTGTCATAGGAGAAAGGGCATCGATTTACTCTCTATAGCACCTGAGGGCAGGACAAGAAGCAAGGGGTGGAAACTCATCAGAAGGAAATCCAACCTAGAAATAAGGAAGAATTTCCTGAAAATGAGAACAATTAATCAGTGGAACGGCCTGCCTCCCCAAGTTGTGGCTGCTCCATCATTGGAGGCTTCCAATAATAGATTGGACAACCATTTCTTCAGGATGGTATAAGGACTCCTGCCTTGGGCAGAGGATTGGACTAGAAGACCTCCAAGGTCCCTTCTAGCCCTATGATTCTATGATCTCAACTTCCTGCCTGACCTGTTAAGAGTTTGCTGGCTGGCTGCTGATGCTTCTCCTCTATCTCCTGGATGAGATCGTCAAGAGAGCACAGTTCCTCCATGTGCTTGGCCAAAAACTTCTCCTTTATTGCCATAATCTTCTTCTCTGTCTCTTCCATTCTAGCCAATATAAGCTTCTCCTGTCCTTCTAACCAGAGTTGTAGTTCTCTGAATTCAGCCACTACATTTTTTTTCTCTTTTTCGATGTGGTCCTAGAACAAGAAGACAGAAAAAGCAAAAGGCATATTTTTGTTTTATTTGTACTTAATTATATTTATTTTTATTATTATAATATTTAAACAGATTCCCTGAAGAGTCCTGAAATGAGATGGGAAAATTTCCTAGGGAGAAAAAAAAAACCATTTTGACATCAACAAGTACAGGGGGAAAGGTTTCTAAAAACCAAAAAAAGGCTCAAGTTAAATAATCTCTCATGAAAATTTTCTTGGCAATCAGGAATTTCAAAAAAGTAGACAGAAAAATGTTTGATTTCACATTTGTTTCAATAAGATGAAATATGGTCTCCCTTAATTTATATGCAAACCAAACCCACTTTATAAAACATGGCCCATGTGACAGGTGCCCTTAACCCAACTGTGACCCATTCAGCCAATGGTGACATCCCAGTCAAAGATACAGATACAGATAATTTAATTTAATTTAATAATTTAATTTATATACCGCCCTTCTCCCGTAGGACTCAGGGCGGTGCACAGCATATTAAAACAGATACAAACAAAATACATCAAAAAACAAAAAACCCCATAAAACCAAATTAAAAGCCAAATATTGGAAGCTGTGTGTCAATTAAAATTTTCTTAAAATCATCTGTGCCCGAACACTGTCTTTAACTGTGTTCGGGCACAGTGTTCGGGCACTTAAATTTCATTTAAGTCAGAACTTGTACTTACAAACAGGCTGCCTATTATTAAAGATGGCGGGTGGTGTTCTCCTTCCTATTAGCTCAGAAGCTCCTCACTGTTGGATCAATACTTACAAGCATCTCCTGAACTCTTTGCTCTGTGTCCGTTTTGTATGTAGCTATTTTTTCTTTCTCCTCCTTCTGAGCCTTCAGCCAATCCCCAACCTTGATCTGAAGAGAAAATACAAGATTTGAGTTTCTTTTCCGTAAAGAATTACATCGGAGGGAAGACCCAGTTAGAAGATATATACAGCCGTTATAAATACATGCCAGTTGCCAAGTGTCCACATTTGGATCATGTAACCACAGGGATGGTCATTTTTTCCATTGCCGTCGTAACTTTGAACAGTCACTACACGAACGATTCTAAGTCGAGGACTACCTGTAATGGCAGGAAAGTGAGCTGCCTGAGTCTCCTGCTTGCAGTCACCTGAGAAGCATCACTGAGAAACAAAAGCTTGGGCTGAGGTGGCTTTGGCCTGACCCACCAGGAGTGTTTTTCAGGGTCTGCACTCAAGACTTTGGAGGACTCTATGATGATCTTGCTCTATAGCAAATGTGGAAAGTGAGCTGGCAAAGGGTACCTATTTCTCCCTAAAGGCAATTTCCGTCGGTAACCAAGACAATTAAGTGAAGTTTTGTCCCATTTTACAACCTTTCTTGCCACAGTTATTAAGTGAACCACTGCAGATGTTAACTTAGTAACACGGTTGTACAGCGAATCTGGCTTCCCCATTGACTTTGCTTTGCAGAAGGTCTCAAAAGCAGATCACCTGACCCCGGGACACTGCAACCATCACAAATCCATGCCACTTGCCAAGCATCCAAATTTTGATCACTGACCACAGGGACGCTACAATGGTCATAAATGTGAAAAATTGTCATAAGTCACTTTTTTCAATGCTGTCACTAAATGAATGGTTGTGAGTCAAGGACTATGGTAAATCTGTCTTCAAAAAATTGGAGGCACACAGGGGGTGAAGGTCTCAGGCTGGAATTAGTGAAGTTTGTTAAAGAAATTGCCAAGGCAGAAAGTTGCAGATGGGTGTAATAAGACCAGTAACAAATGGTGGGCAGGACTGCCCAGCAAGAAAAATGTTACAACAAAGTTAGCAGGACTCTGTGAGAAGGATGCTAGCTAAGGCATGTAGACATAAACTTTGGTAACCTCTAGCTTATTATAATAATAAAACACACAACCCTTTTGATAAGAAAGCTTATTAGCATAAATATGCAATGTATGAAGGAGGGTAAAGTAGGGCAGGGCAAGAAATCAAAAGAAACACATGTCAAGGAACCAATGAGTGATTAACTTCCTTAATCTATATAATATCACTAAACCAAATAAAACTTGATTTGGAAAAAATTGAAAAATCTGCAATTGTAGATGTTAGGGAGAATTGCTATGGTGAAAATGAATACGTATACCTATAAATCTATAGAGAATTTTTTTTTTGAAGAGCTGAACTCCTTAATTTTAAAATTTATCTGGTAAGGAAAGAAAGCTAGAATTAAATTGAAAATGTTACAAGAAACTAAGGGGAAATGGAGGTTTTGGTTTGCCAGACTGGGTTTTATATTATCAAGCATCGGTGTTAACATGGGTAAAAGAATGGATAACCCTCAGACACAAAAGATTGTTGTACTTAGAGGGAAATGACTTACAACTTGGTTGGCATGCTTTTTTATGGTATGGGAAAAATAAAATTCATAAAACATTTTCAAAACCGCTATATTAGAAATGCATTATTACTAACATGGTAAAATAAAAACCAAAATATATTTGAAAATCCCAGGATGGCTGTCAACAATGGAAGCATTTGTACACCCAAATCTAGTTAGCTTTGAGAAAATATGGACATATAAAGATATTCTAAACTCTGAAGGTAACTTAAAATCTAGACAAGAGATGGAAAATCAGGGTACTGATTTATCATTAGTGGTCATATTTACAGATACAAGTGAGATATGATAAAGATGTTAAATTATATGGATTCCATAAAGAGCAGATTTTGCTCAGATACTATTAACTTCTGATGAAAAACTAATTAAGAAAATGTATAATTTTCTATTAAATTTGAAAATAGAAGATGAACAAGTAAAAGAAACAATGATAATATGGGTAAAAAGTTTTGGATATAATATAGATTTAGAGAAATGACAAAGCCTGTGGGAAAGAAATTACAAACTGACAATGTCAATCTCTTATAAAAAAAAAGTTATATAAAATGTTTTATAGATGGCACTTGCCACCAGCAAGATTAGCAAAAATGTTTAAAAATATGTCAGATAAATGTTGGAAATGTAATAAAAAACCAGGTAGTTATTATCATGTATGGTGGACATGTGTTAAAGCAGACATGTCAAACTCGCAACGTGACACCCCTGTATTAAAGCAAAGAAATATTGGACAAAAATACATACTTGGTCAGAAAAGATGGTGGAAAAACATATAGATTTTAAACCTGAACTTTTTAAATTAGGTATAATGCCAGAAAAGCTTGAAAAATGAAGTATATATCTGATTTTGCATGTGATAACAGCAGCAAGACTTACATTTGCACAATATTGGAAAACTGAAAAAATACCATCTGAATAAGAAATAATTTAAAAAATACTAGACTGTGCAGAAATGGACAGACTTACTTTGAGATTGAAAGAAAAAGAAGAAAAAGAATATTTTCAAACTTGGGACTTATTTCATCAATGGCCGGAGAAACGAACTACCGATTAGGAATTTAATTTGTATTAGTGAATGATAAACCCAGACAACACGTTTGTTGAATAAGCACTATTGAATTGTATTAAAAAAATCAATAAAAGCCATAATCTCTCAACTTCCTTCATCTTAACTGTATCAAATTTGTATTTGTATATGGTTCGGGGGTCTTGGCTCCTTTAGCTTCTTAGAGCCTTTTGCTGAAATACTTCAATAAAAGTTCCTCGAACTCCTGTCTGGTTCTGATTGGCATCTGCGCCAGGCTAAACCCGGTTTGCGGACAACAGGAAACAAGTAAAGTAGTTCAAGGATTGCCTGGCTTCCGGTTTGAGACGTCGACTTCGTCGGAAGCTTCCTTTGAAGTCTCCCTCCCGGGGCTGCGTTAGAGCCGTGCCGACAGCATAAATCAGCTGTCGGGCGGCTTGAAACTCACCTCCTGGGCTAAAGGAGGTAGGGGAGCCGCTCCGGATAGGTGTTGAGCTCCCCAAGTTCCTTGAGGAATTTGGGTGAGAGCCCCGCCGGAGTCCGGAGCCATCTCTGCACCCTGGGCAGACCTCGCCGTGTGCGAGACAAGAAGTCGCGCTTGCTGCTGCTTTCAGAAGATGTTCTTTTTTTTGTGAGTACTTATCTTGACAGCCGGTGCTGAACAGGAAAATGGACTTAACAGGGTTTTAATTTTAAATTTAACTCTGGAAGATCAAAGAGATCTCCCCCATTCGTCAAAGTGAAAGTGAGGAGGAAAATGGCCGCGGCAGTTGTTTTTTTGCAACAAAGAAAAATCTCCACTTTCCCTTTGGTATAGTGAGGACGGACTTTGTGGATTCTTTTTTTCTTCTGACTTAGGATTTTTGATTTAAAGGACTATTTAAAAGAAATATATAATGGTTTCTAAGCGGACTGGACCTTCTGCTATTCCAAAATTAATTAAAACAACTGTACTTTCATCTTTGCAACCCTCATCGCAGATATCTAAATCTCCTCCCCCCACATCTACTCCCTTCCTCACTTTTCAAAAATTACAAGAAGTGCTTGATGATTATACTGAAAAGCTTATGTTAAAAGTGCGGCAATTTACTGATGACTTG